GCCCCATTCAACGTGGATTCTATGGGGATCAGGGATACGGGAAAGTTGTCATCCTTAATGCCTCACCCTACCACTAGGAATGGGGGTGGTGATGGGATAGGGGATTTTGTCTACAAGGTGGGGATGGGAGGGGGTGCCCTGCCATAAACCATTGTTAATCTAGATGGTTGGACTGGTCAAGATATCAGCTTTTCTTATTTCACTTGAGAATCATTGTTTTTCAGAAAATTGTTGAAATGGTCAGCAACTTGCTGACTTAGGCGGTCGAACCATACCTGTTCCATCCAGATAATGGTTTTTAGGCAAAATTTTTATATATATATTTTTTCATTTTCTAAAACATCATAGACTGATTTGTTCAGACCGGATGGACGGACCACCGACCCAGAAATTGGTGGCGAAAATCGATCCAATTCCACATCGGTTTTTAAAACATTGTATGGAAGTTTAATTTTATACTTTACAATTCCTTTTAGAAGTGTTCATATACTAATATAGGTGAGTGAATGAAGTTGGGAAGGGATGTCAACATGAGAGTAGTAACATGACAAATAGGAATCCCCTTCTCTGATCTAATTTAGTGTCAGATGCACATAGTGAAACACTCAATAGTGCTACAATATTTTCTTCAGCATATACAAAACGAGCTTTTCTGAACCATAGAATTTGCATTATTAATTTATAAAATAATAATTACAAGAGGACCGTTTTTTATAAAATAGATACGATAATAAACCATATACAATCATGTTCATTGGCATTTTCAAGTAGAATAAGGACCACCTATTACAAAAGTTCTATGAATAAGTAATCCATAATCTACAAACCAACTTGCTTATTATAAAATAATTAATAAAGTTTCTGGAGATATATCAGACATTAGAAATCATATTCGAAGACAACGAAACATCAATTTTATATTAAAATATGCCAGGAATTTAACGGGCAATTAGGGTGTTGGACGGGCTCGGGTTGGGCTTTTCCAAAATTTGAATAGGCCTGTCTCAGAGACCCAAGCCCAAAGCAGTGTAAAGTGTATGTCGGATCAATCCTAATTGCACCACCAAGGGCGATTGTTTGGTTTAATGGTAAAATTTCTCACGAATAGGAGAGTGCAGATTGGGTAATTGTCTTTTTTTTTTCTTCATACATGAGGACTCAGAATTATAGAACGAGCAATGTGACCCAATCAAGAGTGAATAGTTGTACATATCGTTGGTGTGTTCATTCTTGACTGGGTTACATAGCACTGTTTATGCCTGTTTGTAGTAGGTCCAGTGTGAAGATATATGAATGACTTTTGGTAGAATGCAATAGTGAAATAGGATTTATGCAAGTAATCCTATATAGTTGTTTTAGAGGCCATTTGGCAACTCTTTTTATAAGATTTTCTAGTAGACCTGACAGTTTGTAAGTTTTTGCATTAAGTACTTAATAGTTTAAAGACTGTTTGGTTAAAGCACATCTTTTCATGTGAAGACAAGTTGAGAAAAATGAAAAGCTCCATTCGAAGTTCCCTGAAAATAACAAGTAACGGGCTTTCCATATCATTTTAGGGCTACGGCTTTTGACAACTAGATCTTTCCTCAACTAAATCTGACAGCCTGCACAAAATAACGCACCAGACGAGGCCTTTGCAGTTCTGCATTTGTGGCATCTTTGGAAGGTGAGGTGCAAGAGAGTAATGGAAAATGGGGAATTTTTACCATCCTCTATCATTTCAGCTGCTGAAGCCTAGTTATGAGAATTGTCATTTATTAGCAAATCTTTTGAGTCACCTGATAATGGAAACAGCACCTGAGTTTTTATCTCTTGTATTTATGGAGGATCTATAGAACTTCCATTAGGCTATTTATAAAAAAAAAAAAACATATTAACATTGGTTTGACAAACACATGGGATGCGATATGGTGAGTTTGATGGTGCTAGTGTGGTTCAAAGTATCGATATACCTCTGTATATCCATACTTAAAAGTATTGATATGGTGAATTTGATATCCAAAAATGTGTTGTTGTACTATAAAAAGAACAAAACGATAAAAAATAAAAAGATTTTTTTTTGTACAAGCTCCATTTAGTTGTAAAATAAGTAAGAAACAACATAGAGAAAGGTGTATAGTACCCCGTGCTGGACCTTAGGCTGTGTTTGGTTGCAATGCAAATAAATTTGCACTGATGCAAAATTATGACAGTGCAAATGATTTGAGTGTAAATTCTGACCTATTTTTGTTTCAAATTTTAGTTTATCTTGTTTGATTGTAGTACAAATGCAATAAATTAAAACATGAAGCAAAATAAAGTAAAACCCAAAACAAAATTAAATGAGAATTTGCATTTTTTTTATTTGCACTCTCATAAATTTGTGCTAGTGCAAATACAGTTGCATTGCAACCAAACACAGCCTTACTATCCATGGCATTGGGAGGTGGTTTTCTGGAACATAAAAAGAAATGAAAAACTTGTCATGCTGCAAGAGATTTTACCATGCACCAATCAATAGTTAGGCACCTAGTAATGATGACACAAGTCAGCTTTAATGCTATGTTTGGTTTGAAGAAAAAAAAGTAGGGAAAGGAAAAGAAAGTTAGCTGGGGAAACTTTCACAAATGGTGTATAGATTTCCCTATCTTTTCTTTCTTTTCCCTATTTTTTTCTTCAAACCAAACATATATAACCTAAAGGAAATGCAGCACTCTTACTATTATAACTTGTCGGAAGTTTAACAATTGGCTAATTAATTATCTAGTATCTTCTTCATGGTGTTGGTGTTGTCGATTATAATAGTAAAGATGATATATGACCTGAAAAATGAAAAGAATTCCTAGTAAGCAAAGATAAAAAACAAGCATGCAATAGCAGACAATCTTTTTTCGGTCCTTTCCAATCCTTCTACAAAATTCATTTGCTTTATGGAAAAGTTAGCTTAAAAGGACATAAAGTGAAAGTTGTTTATGGGAAAGTGACCCCTGTGAAAATGAAAGCTATGGAGAGGACAAAGTCAGAAAATGCTAACATGGTGTTTGGCAGTGTTTTTCACAAGAGGCGCCAGATTTTGCTGCTGGGTTGGCTGTGTATTACTTGTTATATAATTAATCATTGTTCTGAATGTTAGTGCATATGGGTCCTACAGTTATGAAACTTAACGCTGTTAGTGCATATGGGTCCTATAGGTATGAAACGCTGGCAATTTTAGTTGTGATGGGTTAGGTAGCAAGAGATACATATAGCAAGCCAGCAGTAGGTCCTGAGTGCTTTCACAAGCATCCTCTTAGGCTGCTTTTGTTTGTGATATAAACGTTAAATTAGGGTATTTATGTATCTTGGTTCGCGCTTGTAAGTATTTGGTTGTCATACAAAAATGTAATGATTAAGATAAAAATATATATATATTTTTTTCTAACATCTTTGTATTGTGTTATTTTTCAGATATAAACTTGTGCTCTTCTAATAATTGGTGCTTTTGACAAAAAATTAAGGCATTTAATGGTGGGGCCCATACTTTGCACCGATTTCAAACAAGCAACAAATATACAAAAAACATATTACACTTTGTATTCTAGAACCATAAAGAGGGTATTTATGCAGAGTGCATATTTGTGTTTACAACGCAACCAAACACATACTAAGAATTGGGATACCTGTTCTAAAGACCTGATCAGAGTTGACTGTTCCTTGTGATGGATGGCTGTGGACTGTGGTTAGAGCACTCCGACCTAGAAGAAACAAATAAAGGATTTGAGACGTAATAGAGAGAAATCCAATCCAAATTAGGGAGAAAACAATGGGGGGGGGGGGTACTTGTCCTTCCTAATCTGTATAACACACACATCATCTAGCATATGAGATGCCATATTATTAGGGTTGTTCACAAACAATGCCAAGCCGACCAAACCGGTCCAACCCAATTCGATTTGGTTGGTTTTTTTTCACCACTAGCCATTTTGGGTTATGAAGAAGGATAAACTGATAATTCGGTTCGGTTTCGGTTTTCATGTGTGAAAACCAAAACCAAACCAAACCAAATTGAGTTAGTTGGTTTCTGATTTTCTAGTGTTTCCCTAACTAGGTAATATTTATCCTAGTTTATTCTTTTTAGTTAGTTAATTATTTTTAACATTAAAGAACAATAAAACATTAGTTAAATGGGAATTGGGATTGTTTTCTTTATTTTTTGAGTAGGAAATTTTATACTATAATGCTGTTCACAAACAATGCCTAACCGGCCAAACCGACCCAAACTCACCCTTCATGTTTGGGTCGATTTTGCTTAATGCCAAGTCAGTTTCGGTTTTCTCTTTAAGTAACCCGATCAGGTTGGGTTGATTGAAAAAAATCTATTAAACAAACCCAACCCGACCCGTGAACAGCCCTACATAATATATAATTGCTTAACCCAATGTTTATTTCCCTACTTATAAGGTGAGGAATATGATTGGTTTGCACCTTGGGAATAAGACACTCAATAAATCAATTGAAGCTCATCCGGACAGAGACAAGTGTCTCACTAACCATGGATAAACCAAATGAATTTTCATTAACATGTAAGAACTAGAAATAAGATCAAATGTAATCCAATAATAGTGGTTTTTCTGTACATAAAAAATTATATTCAAAGAAGCAACCAAATAAAACTTTCTTTTTACAATTTTATTATTATTATTATTATTATTATTATTATTATTATTATTATGTAAGGAAAACTTGTATGTAAAAGTTCATGACAGAAATAACCAAATTTACATCAACAGTACCTGGCCATTAATAAATTTTTTAACATGATGAGGATTAAATGAGGACATATGGCCACTTTGGTGGAGATGCATGCTGACAAGATGGTTAAAGTGCGTTGATTTTATTATTTTCATTATGATACTTCGGAAAAGTTGTCAACTTTTTTAAAATTTAAATGTACCACATCACTTTAATGATTCAACATAATCGGGGTGATTCAAGAAATCAATTTGATGATTCAAGAAACACTTCCTCTCATGAATCCCAAAGCAAATTGTTGCGACAACATTTTACCAAAAAATGGCTTTCCTGTAAAATTACTTGGTGCCAAACACCAAGGATACAAAACCCTACGAGGTGGGTGGGGATCCAGTTTGCCTGCTTTCTTCTCCAAAGTCATGATCAACTTAACAAGAAACATCTTCAAGTGTTAGGGTGGTAGGGTTTGCTAAGTACTGTTTCAGCCGATCAATCTCAAGGGCCACGTCCAACGTGGAAGGTCTCATTGAAGGAGAGTTCTGTGTACAAATCAAACCAAGCTCAATCAACTCTAAGATGATTTGCTTCCATGCATTGGAGCTGTGATTTCTCGGTGTTGGTGGTGGCGCAAACCTAAGGAGGGCTTCTTCCATTATGGGCTCAAGGTCATCCGAGTAACGTCTCTTCACCCATTCATGCAGGCTTGAACCTTGGTGAAACATCACATCTGTTGGTCTTTTACCCGTCAAAATCTCTAGGATTAGAACACCGAAACTATAAATATCTCCCTTTGTTGAAGAACGCTTTCCCATTCCGTATTCTGCATCAAATCAAGCCAATTAAGCACAGGATGATATAAGAATGAGAAGCTTGTCAATTAATTAATTACACTATAGATAATCAGGCATAGAATTTTTCATGGGTTGGGCTGGGCCGGGTCGGGCCTAATTCCGGATTTATGAATTTTATATAATTAATTATTGGTTATACATAATATTTTATATTATATTTATATAAAAAATATTTTATACATTTTGTAAATATGAAATACCACATATAATATGTTATGCAGGTGTGTTGGGCCTAGATTCAGCCTTGAAACTTATGCCCAAATTAAAGTTCAAAATTTCGACATGATATATGGCCCATATTGGGATTGGGAGTATTGTATTGTTATCAGTGGGGCTGCATAAGAGGAAATATAAGGGGTTTGAGAATTTGGGCATTTTTAGAGGTAGGTAGGCCTAAGACCAACCCCATGATCAATTTTGAGGGAAAAAAAAAAAGGTTTTATTGTATCAAAACACTCAATTCGCATGTTCGTACATTTTGAGTGTATTGATACCTATAAACTTTAGCCCAAGCCCAAATTTCTAAGATGGGCTGACCCCTAATCAAGCCCCATTGCCAGAGGGCTGCAAATGGATCGACTCAAATATAGGTAGGCCCAACTTTGATTTCTTTATATTGATACTTGAATTGGATAATGTATATCGAATTTAGGTCAGATTTAAATTGTATTCAGACCGCAATCGGATATTGAATAAATAAATACTAAACCAAAAAATTATATATTATTAACAAAATGGTATAACAATGATTTTGATATCACTGTTCCCTAGTGGAATACATTGAAATTTAACTTTTATGAGATTATAAAAGGGTGGAATTTGAATTACCCTTAATTAGATTGAATTGGGAGAATCTAATAATGTTTGCACCGTTGCCCAGCCATTTGTATAGAAAGCCATCTAATTAATAGATTCTATTTTTATTACACCATTCAATCATTTCTTGGTGACAATCTGGCTGCACTTACTCAGACATTCCAGACTATCTGAATTAAGCTAAGAAATGGCAAATTTTCATCCAGACCCAGTTTAAATTGGGTTGAAATTGCCCAAATCCTAATGATTTACTCGAAGAAATTGAGTGGGATTGATTGGCTGGTCATGATTTGATACCTGCATTAACATCTTCTAAACTAATATTGCAAGGAAACTACTTACCCGGAGCAATATAACCAAACGACCCATATAACAGGCCGGCTGTGGAGTCCATGGTAGACAACGAATCAATTGTGCGAGTAATAGCCTCATCCTCACCACCACCTTTCACTAGTCTCGCTATCCCAAAGTCAGTTACCAAAGCAGTCATGTCTTCATCCAGAAGTATGTTGCTCGGCTTTAGATCACAGTGTACAACTCTAACTGGACAATGGTGGTGCAAGTAGGCAACCCCTTCAGCTACATCGCTGCATATGCTCACCAACTGAGCCAAGCTCAGATTAGGGCCTGAACTGTGGCTTGGGTAGAGATGGGTCTCTAGACTCCCATTAGGCATTAATGGGAAAACAAGAGCCTTAAACTCAGGACTGCTACAAGCAGTAATAACCCTAATCAGATTCCTGTGTCTAGTCCTCTTTAGTACCTGGCATTCTCTTTTGAAGCTTGTACAGATCTCTACACCCATCCCAGGATCGAAGACTTTCACTGCAATTCTTCTATTTCCCTTGAGAGTACCCTTGTAAACGTGCCCCAACCTACCTGATCCAATTAGGCTCGAGGAATTGAACCCATTAGTGGCTTCTATGAGTTGTTGGTAGGAAATTCTAGGGTACTCTAGCTGTTTTCTCTCTTGTTCATCTTTGCTTAATTCCCCAGCCCCAAAACTTGCTGCTAAGTGTCTTCTTTTTGACTTGTTCCTTAGTCTGTACACGAAGAAGCACAGTGTAGGAGTTAAAAACAGTAAGAGAAGAATTTGCAAGATTACTAAGTGATGTTTACGTTTCTTCCAACAGGTTGTCATTCCAGGGATGGACCCACAGAGACCTGAGTTTCCTTGGAAGGAGTCTATCGTTAGTGTTGCAAATGCTCCATCTTTTGTTATGCTCCCAGAGAAGTTGTTAAAAGATAGATTCAGTTCTGTGAGAGTGGGAGATGCCTGTAGAGATTCTGGTATTTCCCCAACCAAATGGTTTGATGATAAATCGAGCACTCGAAGATAAAACAATCTGCCAATGGGGAGTGGAAGTGGGCCTTGCAGACTATTTCCTGAAAGGTTGAGGTATTCTAGTGCAATGCAGCTCCCAAGTTGAGGTGGGATTGCGCCAGATAAGTTATTGGATGAAAGATCAATGGCTAGAATCATGTTCATTTTACTAAGCTCTAATGGCAGCGGCCCTTGCAAGAGATTGCTTGATAAATTCAAGTACAACGTCAAGCTACTCCATCCTGCAACTACTTCAATTGGAATCATCCCAGAAATTTTGTTATGAGAAAGATCTAAAATCTCTAGGTTGGTGCATTTCCCTAGACTTGGTGGTATTGTTCCTGAAAGATTGTTTTCATAGAGCATGAGTCTTCTTAACTGAGAAAGATTTGAGAAACTATCTGGAATTGAACCCAGGAGTTTGTTTCTCGATAAATCTAGAAGACCCAAGTGGGAAATATTGCCTAAAGCTGAAGGGATCTCACCAGTCAGTGAGTTGTTCGATAAACAGATCCTCTCCAGACCTCCAATTCGGCTTAACTCAGGTGGAATCGATCCGTTAAAAAGATTGGAAGACAAATTTAAGAAGGTGAAGTTCACAAGATTGGAGATGCTTGGAGGAATGGAACCAGAAAGAAGATTCTCTTCAAGATGAAGTACTGCAAAAGTAGTAGAAAGATTACCAATAACAGAAGGTAACTGTCCGCCCAGATTATTTCCCGCCAATTCGAGTGTTTGAAGGTTAGAGCAGTTAACAAGAGAAACAAAGAAGGGTTCAAGGTCAGTGTTACCGTTTTGACTAATGAGGTTGGTGTAGGACAAATACAGATACTGCAACTGTGGTGTTTTATCCACAGTTGCTGCCGGCAACTCTCCACTTAAAGAGTTCGATGTTACATCAAGCCATTTGAGCTTTGTTGAGTTTGCAAGGGCCTGAGGAATCGGACCCACCAGCCAGTTGGACCACAGTTGAAGACGTTTCAACCCAATTAGCTTACAGTGATTCCACAAAGGGATCTTTCCGGTAAGAGAATTTTCAGACAGATCTATATTACTCAATGAAGAGGAGCCATTGCAGAAAAGTGACTCCGGAATCTGACCCACAAGCCTATTACTTGATAAATCAAGATATTCTAAGTGACTCAGAAAACCAATTTCAGCAGGAATATTCCCTTCAAGAACATTATATGTCAAGTTCAGATGTGTGAGCATGGAAAGTGCTCCAAGCTCAGCTGGTATCGAACCACGAAAGAAATTTTCCGATAAATCAAGCACTGATAAGGAGGACAAATTCGAGAGCTCAACAGAAATAGTCCCTTCCAATGATCGGCGACCGAGATCAAGCTTGACAACTTGATCTCTCGCACTGTTACATGTAACACCTGTCCAATTGCAGATGTGCAGACCCGAAGAACTCCAACTCCCAAGAACTTTCTCGGGATCGGAATCAATACCAGACATGAAAGAGAGAAGCGCAGCTCGGTCGTTCAAACTTCGAGCATTGTCTTCTCCATAGACAACAGGAAAGAGAATGACCAAACAAAGAAAGCTTGACCTTGCAAATGTACAGAAACTCATCATGATTATTATCAAAATAGCTCTTCGCTAGGCTAAGCTTAGAATTTGACGAAGACAACCAAAGTATGGACAAATCAGTAGCTTCACCACCCTGGTATTTAAGAAGATAAAGTGGTCTCTCCCTACGTACGCGAGGAAGATAAAATATAGAAACAAATCCAGTCTCTAATGGTAGTTTTTGCTTAATTAATTTATAATTAGTAGTGGAGAATGATCAAAGAAAGAAAATTAAACCCATCATCATGATCTTCACAACCGCTCTTCTTTAAGCTTAATTAAAAATTTGACAAAGACGAAACCAAAGAATGGGCAAAAACAGTAGCTTCACCCATCACTATCCTCAGCCCTTCAAGAGTAAAATTAGAATGATAGGGTACGGATGTAGTAGCCATGTTAGGTAAGCATAATGAGTGAACACGTAATAGCTGTGTGACACATGTTTCAGCCTTTCATCCAAATGTTTTTGCTCCATTAGACAGAAATTATTCATTATTTTATTATCTTTATCAATAATTAAAAATAAAAAAATAATGAAAAAAAGAAAACGTAATGGATAATTTTTGTCTAACGGAGCAAAAACGTTTGGATGAAAGGCACATTAATTATGACATGTGTCACACAGCTATTATGTACTCACTCATTGTGCTTATTTAACGTGCCTACTACATCCAGACCCGATAAAGAAATCAACAAATCAAGGGGCAAAGATCTTTGTTTAATTGGCGCCTTAGTTCTTTGAGTAGAAAGTCAACAAGTCAATAGAGGAAACTTTTAACGCCATGTGGATTGTGTAACCAAGGGAAAGCAATTCACAATAGGGTGTGTAGGTTTGACATGGAACTGAATGGAACTCACCTCAATCAATATGACCTTGAACTTATCCTATCCAACCTGTTACAGGATAGGGTCTGGTTCCAATTCTTGGAACCAAACCCCACTTAAGCCAGTTTTAGGGTCTAGGGGTTTACCCTGCCCAGACTGACCCGATGAATTGGCCTTGGTGGAACCAGTCTAGGCACCAAACTTTTCTTGAAATAAACTCCAAAATAATTTTTGAGGATGTAAAGATTTGAACTCAAGCACTCATGAATACAAAGGTCATAGTCTCACTTGACCATTGAATTTTTAATTGATTTGATCATTTGTTTTAATTTTAATATTTGAATGTGTACAATAAGTACTGTAAAAGGTAATATTTACAAATTTAAATTAGAATAATAAGTTTTGAATCATATATTAACATATTATGATAATCTACATATTAAATTCCTCAATTTAATTGATAAAGATAATAGAAGTTTTAAACCATATATACTATATTTATTGGAAATCAAAATTTTGAAGAACATGTTTCATTTTTTTGAAGGGCTATACAAGGAAAGAATAGGTTCAATAGGACCTTGGAACCGACCTTGAAACCACTAAGGCCAGAACCAACCCTAGAACCAACCTTCACAAAGTAGATTCCGATTCCAAAAACTTGGAACCAACCCCTATAAGGTAGATTCTAGGTTATGGCATAGAACCGAACCAAACTGACCCATGCTCACCCTTAGTGTTTAGTATTGAGGGTGTTGTGCATCATGATGCCACCAAATAAGTTCCAAGTAGGCATTTTGACAATAGCAAACGAAAATGTTGTTTGGTTGTGTTAATTAATTCTTTTCTTGGATTGTGAGAAATTGTTTGTGGGTGTTGTATGGACATTTTATCCTATATAATGCCTAATGGCACATATGTGTAACCATCATCAACATCCTCACCTTATCCTAATATATGGGGCAGGCACTTAGTGGATAATATGAAGGTAAATTAATTCATTCTTATTTGGAACTTACATTGCAAGGGAGATCGGTAATATTTCATGCAACATGAATGTCAAATTCTTTCACCCTCTTAGAGAGGGTAATAGATGATCTAATTTTCTTGTTATTAATATGGGTGTTGAGGATGAAAATCAATAATTTTTGAAGGATATGTTCAAACTCCTATAATGCTTTTAAATATATTGAAAGAAGACTACTTAGCCATTCCTCTTCTTCATATAGATTAAGCTGTGCTTTTTCTAACGTCGTTGTCACTCAATTTCTTTTTTTTTTTCACCACTTGTTGGGTTGAGTGTGAAAACGAAAGAATGTTTTGTTTGAGTTTGGCAAGCAAGCTCTAATTTTCTTTCTTCCTTTCGGCAATGTTTAATAAAATATTAAGGTGGTTGTTTCTCCACTTGGAGTAAAGTTTGGGGTTATTAAAGAAAAGGCAATTTAGTGAAACAAGAAATTGCAAAAAAAAAAGAAAAAAGCAAAGCAAAGATCTTGAAAACAAAGAAAAGACTTAATAGACAAATTAATAACGTTTTATACAAAGAAGAGGTATATTGCACCTCCCTCGAGTATTTTGTATACACCTTTCTTTCGTTCTTAATATATCTTACTTTTCTAAAAAAAAAAAAGAAGAGGTATATATTGTGCCCAAAATTCTAAAATTTCATAGATAAAATGTGACGATTTAAATAATAAAATTTTTCTGTACATCACTTTAGAAGGAAGAAGCAAAAATAAAACTCAGAAAAAAGAATAGGAATTGGACCTATAATGTATTACAAATAAGGAATATATTTTGAGGCTTTTGAAAAAAAGACTAACATTAGAAGGTACTAGAAATGTTGGGTAAGTAATAGACCCCATAATCACTGATGATCAAAATGAAATGATCTGTAGATAGGTCCAAATTAAAGAAACTATAGAAGCCCTGAAAGCCCTTGGCCTACATGAATTAAATTTGTTTTTAAAAAATACTAGGAAATAATAGGGGGGGTAAAATTAAATTCATGAAATAAATAGCCTAGAGTGTCCAAACCATTATAGATCCATTAGCCTTTGTAATGTGGTCTATATAATAATGGCACAAATAATTGTAAATAGAATTAAGTCAACTTTGAGAAATCTTGTTTCCCCATATTAGAGCGCTTTTGTGTTTAACAAATTGATTATTGATAATCCTAATAGCTCATGAGATATTTAATGTCCTAGGGAAAATTAAGCTTGATAATTTGAAAAATAGACATGGAGAAAGCCTATGATAGGACAGAATAGAATTACATCAAATAAACCTTAGAAAAATTTGAGTTATGTCAGAAATTCATTAAGTGGGTCATATATACTATGATCTCTTATCAAATAAAGAACAAATGGTTCACCAACCAAGCTTTTTGTCCCATCAAGGGGAATTAGACAAGGAGATCCCCTATCCTTGTATGACTTTGTTATTTTCTGGGAGTCCTTGAATACAACTCCTCTCATCACTATCGCAACCAAGAATGAAGTGGACTCTAAGTAATCTAATTTATCCCATCTCTCTCATACAATGTTTATCTTGTATGCAATGCTTGTCCTCGTGTAATTCAATCCTATATGTATTCAAACACTCTTGCACTTGGTGATTGAAGTGAGTACAGTTTCTCAATTACTATTTATTACATGGTATCAAGAGCCTGAAAGACCTCATCTAAACTTTTTATTTCCGATGGTGTCCTCTTCCCCTATCAACTCTACTACTTTGTCGGCCATCTCCTCCTCCCTTAACTTTGGCCTCCCCTCCATTATCAACTCCATCCCTAATGTCACTCACTTTCTTTCCATCAAGTTAACTTGTGATAACTATACTACTTGGCGTGCCTAGTTCTACCCATTATTTAATATCTACAAACTTATGGGTCTAGCTAATGGATCAGTTCAAACTCCTCCTAAGAAGAGCCCTGATTCGAGTGATGCCATCTCCTCTTTTTAATTCTTCTTATGATGATTGGTACCGCTATGAACAACTCATTTTGAGTTGGATTATATCTTCCTTGATTGAAGTGGTAATACCGCAAGTTGTTGGTTTTTCTACATCAGATATTGCTTGGAATTCCCTGGCACGTTCCTATGGCTCTCCTTCTTGATCATGGGTCCCTCAATTTCGACTTCAACTTTAGACTATGAAGAAAGGCTCTCTTACAATCAATGAGTATATTCAACAAGCATGGAGTATTGTTGATAGTTTGGCCAGTGTTTTTGTTCCAGTTTCTCTTATGGATATGCTGCTCTTTATGTTAGCCGGTCTTGGACCTGATTACGAGTCCATTGTGACATCCATCACCACATGGATTGAATATGACAATCTCTCAATTGATGGCCTATATATGGTCTACTGCTCAATCACGAAATCGTACTTTGGCAGTGAAATGCTTCTATTGACTCTCAAATGTTGATTGCTAATGTTACTCTAAACACAAATGGCCTAGATCAAGTTCATGCGGGTAATGACTCAGGTTTGAGAATTTGACATGCATATTGGTTCTTCTTCCAATTCGTATCCTTCCTCTACCTTTCACTTAAATAATATCTTGCAAGGATTGTACGTCAGAGAAGGAGATTCTTTAGTTTGCATGCGTCATCACATTCTATCTAGTCCAATATTGGTGAATGTACCACAATTCCTCAATGGCATGTTCATTTTGGTCATCTTGCATTTAGAGCCATATGTCACATTCCCTCCACTCACCTTTCTCCAAGAACAATTTGGGTCCATTTGTTCTTCATGTTAGTCAGGAAAGAATCATTAGTTACCATTTTCTACTTTTGTTAATCGTTCTACTACAACTTTCCTCTCCTCGGTGGTGTCCAATGGTGGCTTTCGTTATTAGATTAAATTTATTAATGATTTTTAGCAAATTTACATGGTTATTTCCACTTGCCTCCAAATTTGATGCCTTGCATGTTTTTATTAAGTTATATATATATATATATATATATATATATATATATATATATTGAAAATCAGTTCTCCACCACCATTAAAGCATTTCAAAGCGATTGGGGTCGGGAATATTGTAATTTTTCCAATTATTTGTCTGACTTTGGGATTGCACACTGCCTGGCCTACCCACATACCCTTAAACAAAATGGTTAGACTGAATGTAAACATCGACATTTGATAGAACCTTCCCTCTCTGTGTTGGC